AGCATTTGCTCGTAATTTCTATATGGTTTTCCTTATAAAGGTGCATTGCAGAAAAAGAAATGTTTTCTGAAGGTAATGAAGTGTTCCCTTCGAAATTTTTGAAGTTTATGGCTTGTCCTATCGAGTTCTCGTGAAGTCACCGCTACGATTCAAAGCATATATTCATGCTGATGCGAACTTATTTATTTTCAGCTGCAAAGCCAACCGGAGTTCCTGGTCTACGTAACCTTGGCAATACATGCTACGCAAATGCTCTGCTTCAGGGTCTGTCAAGGTTGGTAGTATTGATTTTCTCTGTGAAGGGAATTTTGTGGGGTTGAAGAAACGGGCATGTTTGGCTATTCGGAGGGAAAGATGATACGGTTTAATGGCTTGGGGTCTACTGGCCTTCTTTGAGTGCGTCTTTTAACCCTCCATCTAGAATCATAGAGGGACATGAATACGTGTTTTGCTCACACAGTTAAGTGTAGGGCAAGCCATACAATGCTCTTCACGGTCTACCAAAATCAGTAAGGGTACAGTAGTTCTACCCTTCCGGATTTTGGTAGACATTTCGGTAGAAACCGTGTTGTCAGGGAAACTTGTTGATGAGAAGCGCTTGTTTTGACCGTGTTACATTCTCCGGGTAGAGGAACCAGCATTATGCTAAATGAGGAATTTTGCTTTTCACAATCTTTTTTTTCAGTCTGCCTTCGATGGTACGGTGGCTAAGCGAGATAGACACGTCTATGAGTGATCTTCGATATGGATTTCTGTACGAGTTGAAAGATGTCGTGATGAGTAAGTGTTGAAGCCCTTTGCGTTAGTGGGGCTTGCTGCTCGAAAAAATTGCGCAGACTTTGCTGCGCCAGTTATTTCATTGAATGTCAGAAAGAGAAGGAAAAGAGGATATGTGCTTCCTCGCTAAGTACTTGAAGAAGTAGATGTTTTTCATATTTTTGCTCAATTAAGAACTCAACGACCCTTCGACGATTTTATATGACGTCAGCGGTGTGATGTCGACGCTCGCCAAACACAATTGGAATATTACAGTTGGTGCGGCTTTTATCTGTTTTCACATTTGTTATTGTAATGAAGTGCTGGCAAATGCTGTGTATTTCTCTGCCGCCGAGCTAGGACTGAGCCGATTTTTTTGTGGACTTTGCTCGGATCATTACTACTTCAGACAAGCATGAATAACAAAATGCTTTTTGTGCGCCACCTATCCGGTCCTATATGCTCGATATAGGCAAGGCTTAATACTAAAATGAAAACATTAGTTCGATGGCAACTGTAATAGCAAAGCTAAAAATCAGACTTTATTTGGCTTTTAGTGAGTTCCAGGTGAAAGCTTATGAGCTTAGAGAGCTCTTTGATTCGTAGGATCGCAGGCTTGCATATAAATGTAGGATTCAGGAGTCGAACATGATCTTCACGAGTTACTAAACGTGTTTGCTACGACATGGGAAGAAGAGTTGCAAGAAATGAAGAAACGGCTACTTTCCTCATCTTTGTTGCAGTTTAATGAGGTAGGAAAGCTGCCATCATCAATTAGGACTTCGGTAGCACTGGGACGCTAAACGCGGCAGTTTTTCCTTTCCTTGCCTCACTTTATAGGACTATGAGGTTTTGATGTTGTGTAGTGTTGATGTAGTGTCTTTATGATGCGCGAGACGAAATGGGTCAATAACTGGAAAGCGTGATTGTGCAATTTGCTTGAAGAGGCAGAAGCTAAGCCTTAACCCGTTTGTTACTTTCCTATCGGTGTGCTTTATTCATTTGACTTGCATTGAGAAATTTGGTGCCTACATGGGTTGTTGGCTTACCAAGGTCTTTACTCTCACCTTAGAGTTATCCGGTACTATTCAAGCGGTCTTGAACTGGAATGCCTAGATAGGCAAAATTCATTCCATAGAGTGCATAGGTGCCCATGGTAGAGGCGTCTGCTTGCCTGCTCTCTCCTTCGCCCACATACAACTACATCCATTTGGGGTATGCCATGAGATCCGATTCATAGTTATAGTGATAGCTTTCACTTTTTTACAGCGACCTTTCCTTTGGGTGTTTTCTTCCTTTGAGTGTTTTCAAAAAAAAGAGTGAAGCGTTTTTGCATCTTATCTTTTTAGACAGACGGCTTACCCGGAAACTGTGCTAGAATAGGTGCTGGTTCGGGATCGTCTGGAGACGCGCCTTTGTCGCCTATCAGCCGAAAGGAACTTGTTTTCCAAAGGTTTGTGAGCTTTCAACCACTTCATTGAAAATCATAGAAAAAGTAATCCATAGTCGCTGCACTTATTGATTGCGCGGTAGACAGGAGCCCGTATCGACTACCCATTGCACGCTGCTATTGAGATGATGAAGCTTTTCGTGTCTGGTAAATTCACATGTGAATGAACACCTGAATGTACAGCTTTAGAATTTATCCCAAGTTTTGAAAGGATAAGGTCTTGGGTCGTTAATGGCACAGTTCACGTTAATTCTGGGGTACCCGTTATTATTCGGAAAGCGGAAGTATAGATTGGGAATAGTTGATCGATAGTGAAAAAAGCGAGAGAATACGCCGATTTCGAGAAAAATATGGTTCCTCAAAAGTAGGAAAATAAAGGTTGGACGAGGTTGCTTAGACGGAAATGCATGGAAAGGGTTTTCGGACAAGATTTCAGTTATTGCCATCAAGCCAGAACTGTTCAGAACTGTCGCTATGGGTCATGACAAGTTGTTTGAACCTCCTACATAGGTTCTCTTGCGATCGGTGCAGCCTCTACAATGCCGGTGAAACTCGTCCAAGGATGCACATGGGCCGGTTTTTCAGCCTTTATAACTCCCTAACTAGACCATTTTCCGACCTAAGAATGCCAGATATGGTATACTCCGGGGCCTCAAATTCATCCTGTGGAGGAATCTCAGAAACTATTTTTATCGTGAACTGTGCCTTTAATCTATCCCCTCTGGGGGATGCGCCCCTGCTACGACTTCTATTCAGAATCTTAGTGGCGTACTGCATGCGTATGTGACCTATACAACGACTTGCGGTTGCCAGCCGTACAAGTCAATGCTTTTATCCTTCCAGACGAGTCTGGCACCAATCAACGGACCCCAGTGGTATGGAAGACTTGGTTAGCTTAGAGAGATATCGATCCGCGATTTGAACCCGTGACTAGGCGTGTGTGATGGTGGGCCACTTGTCCACTTCCGCCTTCCCAAAAAGGTATTCAGCGAAAATAGTGGAGGAGTGTAAAAATAATGAAATCGATTATTTAGAGTTATGTGTAAGGTAAAGTAAAGAAAGTCTTTATTCTGACGTAAAATGAAGGCCAGAAGGTAATTTTCGAGAATTCAAATTTCTCGATGTTAGTCATGTCTGTTCGGAATGCCACATTTTCCATCCTTCGTCTTTTATTCATAATCTAATGTATGTCTGGCCATCAATGGCGAGATTGCTGTGCTTATTCTCCCGGGTTCGATATCATGATCTTTGTTGTTCTGCCGCTCAGGCGACTCTGACACGAAATCCCATTCGAAGGCAGTATTTACGGTAGCGGGGTCGATTGGCATTACCTTATTCCAATCGTGGATGGATGGAACGTCGATAATACATTCAAGTTTCCACTTTCAGATGTGCCGATATCGTTCGAGTGGAGGCAAAGCTACGTGCTCCATGCTTTGGTTTGACTGCAACTGAACTGCGCTGTTGCCAAAGTGATTGTGGGTTTAAGGTCAGTTTTCGATTTATTCTAATGTAATCGAGTTTCGAAGACTAGTGTGGCGTTCTTAGTGAGCAATCGGCTTGGACAAACGACCGAAATTCAAGCGTAATAATTTTTAGCAACAGTGGTTTCTTGACTAGCATCTTTTGATGACCGTCAGCTTTGAACTTTTCGTACTTGGGAGATAGTAAGAGGTAGTCAGAACAGGATATCCTGTCGCAGAGACCCTCAAAACTGATATCAATGGGGAATTTATGGAACCATCTGTATGCCTGTTTGCGGATTTTGAGCCTTTATAGCGCCCTATCTAATTCTTTTTTCGACCGGACAATGCCTTATTTGTCCTTCTAAGGTGCCTAGAGGGGAGGCTTGGGGAAACCAATTTTCTCGCGTTCTGAACCTTTTGTTTTAGGTGTGTTGTATTGAAAAAGTTAGAGGGGAATCATTGGCAGCCCATGGGGGCTGTACTGGATTGTTCTATCCAGTTGCCTAAGGGTTGCCCTCCTTTTCGAAATGGCTGCACGAATAAAATTGAACGGAATCTGAGATTGTAGACTTCAAGAGGAGATAATTTTTCAGAAACTGCGCTACGACACGTTTGGTGTAATTTCGCTAACTATTCCGAAGATGTTCATGGGAATGGTTTGTTCTTTCTAGCTCTACGTATACACATGATTTGTTTCGGCGTATGAGCAGGCATGTTCATAGTTTATTGCTTTCAGTCAGTTACGATTGAGGCGCTTCTGAGGAAGTACTTTTGTATGGAGGTGATTCGAGGAGCCACATGTGATCGGTGTAAGTCCCGCACAGGCAAACGCGACAGTGGACTTTTTAAGAAGCAAGGTTTCAGTAAGGTAAGTTGTAAGGAACTCATTCTGTTTGAAATCTTCATTCAACTAAGCATCGTATAGAACAGTATTTACACACAATATTCGTATTTGCGAAACGCCAACGGATTAACGGCGGCGGCAACATTGGTTGCTGTTGGCGCAGGGCGAGTAACCGGTTTGGCATTGACAACCGGAGTTGTTCGTGGATGGCTGACAAGCGACAGCGGCAGGTTGAGCTGCAACAGCTGAAGGGCATGTGTTACTGCAGCTCTGCTGGCAGGCTGGTTGGCAAGATGCCACTGGTTGATTCTGCTGAGCGCACTGCGAAACGCAAGTGGACTCGCATTGTGGTTGGCACTGAGAGCTCTGAGCTACGCTAGCCTGGAGCACGACCTGAACGACTTGAGCATTCTGTGAATCACAAGCGGATTGGCACTGTTGGCACTGCACTGGTGATTGGGCAGGAGCACACTGCGATTGGCATTGCTGAGCACAGGACGGCTGTTGCTGTTGGACGGGCTGCTGAGCGGCAACACAGGTGTTGTCGCATGCTGGCATACATGCCGGAGTGCACTGAGGCTGTGCTTGAACGACAGGCTGAGCAGCACCGCAATTCTGTGAGCACTGTGAGTTGCAGCTATCGAAGCATTGAGCGACTGGCTGTTGCTGTGCAACGCAGGTAGACTGGCATTGGCTCTGGCATTGAGGCATGCAAGCTGCCGAAGGTGCAACGGTGGCGGTGTAGGTTGGCTGGTACTGAACGCCGCAAGTGTTGGCGCATTGTGATTGGCACTGATCGGCACACTGAGCGACTGGCTGTTGCTGGGCTACACACGACGCCTGGCATTGGTCCTGGCACTGTGGCATGCAGGCAGCAGGGGCGGCTGTGGTTGCCGGGTACTGCTGTGTGCAGGTTGGCTGGCAAGCTGGCTGACAGGCAGGTACGCATTGGTTGCTGACTGGAGCTGCCTGGTAGGTGTTGCAGGAGTTCGAGCATTGTGACTGGCATTGGTCAGCGCACTGGGCAGCCGGAATTTGTTGAGCAGTACAGGATTGTTGGCACTGTTGCTGACAGGCTGGCTGACATTGTTGGCTCTGTTGGGCAACTGGGAGAGTGATCTGGAGCTCAATAGTCTGTTGTACCTGAGGCTGCTGTTGGTTACAGGCGACGTTGCACTGCTGCTGGCACTGGTTGTTGCACTGGGCCACAGGCTGCTGCTGAGCCACGCACGATTGCTGGCACTGTTGCTGACAGGCTGGCTGGCATTGACTGACTACTGGAGCTGGTGTAGGGTTGTAGGCCGGTGCGCAGGAAGCTTGGCAGGAGTCCTGGCAGGTCTGTTGGCAGTTGTTCAAGGTAGAGGTGGAACACTGCTGAGCACAGCTCTGCTGGCAGGCTGGCTGACATTGGGTGGTGGTGTACTGCAGAGTCTGGGTCTGTGGAGCACATGCGCATTGTTGAGCTGGCTGAGGCTGGGTGTACTGAGGTTGGCTTTGGCAGGAACACGACATCTGCTGACTAGCTGCTGGTGAACACGAACATTGAGCCTGAGTTTGAGCAGGAGCACATCCGCATTGACGCTTCTCACGAAGCACGCTTCCCTGAAAACATTATGGTTGTAGAGGATGAATTTGTAACGATTATTGAAAGTCTTGAAAAAAATTTTCCATTTAGTCTAAGTGCTTTCTTGGGAAGACTTGCAGCAAGTTAAGTTTTCAAGGCCATTATACTGAAGTAGGATTATTACGCTACTAGGTATATCGGAAGCACTTGGAGCATCGGTAATCGTAATTTAGACAGGAGAAACAAATAATGGAGGAAAAAGTTGTCAAAATTAAAACTTACTGCAGTGAGCAGGAATGTTGAAGCGAAGCAAAGTGCGATAGTGCTGAGATGCATCTCGATGTTCGGTGCAACTTGGAATTGTTCCTAGCCTAAATACCTTCCGGAAGACGAGGGCGTGTCGATAGTGAAGTTTTGGACTAGATTTTCCGTGAGGATGGCTGGGAAACCGGGGCGAGATCATCGAGACGAAGAGACCAAGACGGTCGTCGCGCGACAGATACCTCACGGCTTCTGTTTGTTGTCAAACGGCGGCAATAACTCGACGCGACCCGACGTCTCGTTCTTGTTTACTGAAGCAATCTATTGGCTTTCTCGAAGATAACGACTGCGTCAAACATTGTTCTAATCGGATCAGTCGCGTGCCACTGTCAAAAAAAAAAAAAGAAAAAACCGGATTAGCAGTCACATAGTAAAAAGAAGTACTCAAAGAACCTCGGTAGATAGGTGGGGTATCAGCTAGTTGAGGTACGGTGCAGTACAGGGTCCAGTGAATAATTATGATTCCATTCCGACACTTGCCAAAAGGCATTTCTGCTACAACGATGTTTTTGATAATCAATTACACTTTCAATGCAACAACTACAAGTTTATCAATCCTTTTGGCAGTAGTAGAGCTCATCCGCTCCCTCTTTGAGAAACCACAAAACCACGTTCACGGCTCAAACAATATATACCAAGATATACGGGGTGGGCTCAACGTTCAGAAACTTCTGAAGCAGAAATGGTTTACTAATTTATTGCATCAGCCATTAGTCAGTTACACAATTACTTGCACAATTACCCAGGTGAGACTTCCATTATCTTCTAGATGGTGAAGGCTCATTCAATGCCATTGCAATCATTTGGATGCGAGAGACCGAAGGGCATAGTGAATTCTTTGTGAATCCAATAATGACCGTACAGAAGACTGTTGTACAATCCAGAGAAGCGGAATCAAACAGAGGCAGGGCAGAGTGGGGAGAAGGGCAATGTTTTCAAAGATAGGGCTATTAAAATAGTCCGTTTGTAAGTCAATCCCACTCTTGGACCACCCAAAAGTACGGTAGCAGAGCAGGACTTGGCGGAGTCTTCGATGTGATAGGTTGTCAAGAAGCTTCATTGCCATTCCTACCGTTTGCACAAGTGCCACTCAATTACCCATCCAATAGACAGTAAAGGGCCAGAAATGCAAAGATTGCTGTCTTTGGTAGAGGCACGCAACCACTTATTCATTCTCTGATGAGAAAATCTTTGCGAATAAGCCAATCTTTAATAAATCAAGTGAGCGTGTTCTAAATAGAAACAGCGAAAAAGCAACCTTTCACGACAAAATTGTCATAAGAACAATAAAATTAAGTTTATTGAGGGGTTACTGCAAGTGATATGACGTAGGTGGTCTGGTGGAATACGGGCGGCGTCAACAAAGACGTGTAATTAAGAGCACACTGATGGATGTACTAAAGCATTGATTCGACTATGTTTCGTGAAACAATCATAGTCCTTCCACCAGGACGGTACACCACGCAGAGCCAAGCTCGTCTGGGAAGAGTGCCGACACCAGCTGTCCGACTTCATTAGCATAAGGAATGGCCATCATGTTCTCCAGATCTTAACTCACTTGGCTGCTCACTATGGTCTCTAATTGAAGGAGAGCCTGCCAGGTTTCCAGTCCCAGTTTGGAGTACTAGATAGCGAGACTAAGAAGTGCTGGGAAGAAAGGGAGTAGAAGGAACCTGCGTGCAGAGTGCGAGGAATTCGAGAAAAAAACTTTGGGTTTGTACCTTCGCAATGGGGGATAATTTGGAATTTAACTGTAGCTTGTTGTTGTCCATAATGTAAGCAAACGTGCACATAAATCCCAACGTCATTCTCTGCTTAGAAGCTTCAAATACATTGCAATGTGTAGGGGCCTATAATTTTGGAGCACCATGTAGTGTGAGCAATGGGAAGATTGGAGTAGTGCCAGCTATGCGCTCATTGAACTTTTAAAGTTAAGCCCTGTATTACCACTAACCAAGTGAGCGTGTATTCCATTCCAGAAAAATAGTTAGTTGATACCTCAGAAAAGGTCGCTTGGTACCTGTTTAGTCTGCAGGGTTCCAAATATTGCAAAGACACCGCCTTATCTCTTTCCGTCGTTGTCTTAACCGAATTTGAGCATTCCTAAAGGTGTTAGTGAGCTGTTCATGCCAGTAAACGAATGTTGCAGTGTGGTGATTTTCAGAGGTAAAATGAGCCTAGCGCTCGTTTGCTACTCTCGTTCGACCACACAGCATCGTTGCTGATAAAAACCATCTGCCTTTCCAACGGTCAGGCAAGATTCTAGCGTGACTCTCAACTGCGCCCAAAGCTTATATCAGAAGCTATCAAATTTTAGTTTTTCGTCAGGTTGACTCACTAATACTGATGCTATTTGCTAAGGAGTTTGCAACATGTGCTCCGCAGGGGGCGGGCAGTATTACGTCAGCGTTCGCCGCTCTAGAGATCAGCAATCATTGCGGAGAGTTCCAGTTTAGAGGCTGATCGTCGATCCTCTCTGTCGTAGTCCCCCAGTAGAACCCCACCTCGCCTTTTCCTGGCCCCTAACTTAGACATGAATTGGTTTATCCTTTCCAAGGGTAACTAGCAAAATTAAAAAATACAAGTCGTGCCTCGATGAAACCTGCCTTTGATTTTCCTCCTAATCTGTAGCAGAAATTTGCGGTAGATCTTTGGACCCCCGTAGGTGAATGGATCCGGTACAGAGATCATGCCTTGGTACCTCTTTCGTCAGATTCAATAGGGATTTCTGCTTCGACCTGACAGAGCCGAAAACTCTGTCTTGGATACTTTCCAAGTGGTTACCTTTTGTAATGCTATACCATCGCAAGACAGTTCCAATCGCGACTGAAGAAAGTTGGAAGTTAAATGTAAGAGGCACATTCTCTACATCCTGCAGGTAGCTTATAAGGCTAAAAGAACGTTCACGTCATGGAGAGAGCGGCTAAAAGTTCTACAGCATTCGAACGAGCGAGGCTCAATCCGTCCATTCTTATTACTGGTTGGGTTTCTTCCTCCCCTCATTCACGCGTTTCCGGATTGCAACCTTAGCTTTCGTTTCTGGCTAGGAACTACCTCCGTTACCGTCGTTTCTTCGTGGATGTTTCTGGCGTCCTTAGCCTGACCTCGCCTAAGCACCATTGCCATAGTGTACATTCTCCGGATCAGAGTCCTGAATTATATTGCCCTTCCTGGAATTGTTCACTTCTGGAGTTCTAATAGACTACGACGACGGAAAGTGGTGTTTGGACGAGATATCACCCTTGAGTGAATCAGCTGGTTAGATATGCAACAGCCAAGCTTCTTTTTTGCATTTGCGACACAGTCCCTCTCTTATTCAGCTTTTGGAGCGTCTGGCATGCCTTTTATAGATGGTTTCTGTCAGTAAATGTTTGAAGCAAACTTTGAACACTCATTGTATAAGCCGTTTTTCACTGCATTGATGTCACCGTCTTTAACTGCGAGAAGATAAGCAGGTGATGTGGGAGTGAGCCGTTCAGTAAAAGGGCACATTACAACTCTAATAAATAATCTGTTTGTTGCGGTTGAAAATGAGATGGGATGGAGAAGATCTAATGGACTTCATGGATAATATAACGAGTACACTTCACTAATCTATTACTTCCGTTTGAAATCTCTAATCTAAGAGCTTCTACAGTCCAGAACAGTATGTTGCCACTGAACAATATAACTCCAAGTTATAATGTACAGTGAGTTAGGTGCGACATTAGGGTGTGTATATATTTCACTAAAAATCGGCTTTCACTGTTTTTTAGCGGCAAGGGAGTCCTTTTTTAACGGCAATTCAGTTATCAACCTCAGGGCTATGCTTCATATTCCCACTAGGTGTTATAGCGTACAATAACATCAAGAAAGTTACATATCCTCCGTGATATAAGTGAAATTTGATAACTGGCCCAGAAATGCAAATGACTTCATCATGTCCGTTCAGCATTTTATTTAAGTCGTGCTCCTTTCACTTATAAATAGTTAAGGTTGGTCAGTTACTGGGAGCTATTGATGTGAGAATTTGATAGTCAAATTTTTTTTTGTCAGGGCGAAATTCTGCCCCCTCCCCCCAGGTGTCATTCCAATGGAAACAAACCTAGAATTGATAGTAAACGTGCGACCTGTATTATTTGCAATTATTTGAACTTGAACTACCAAATGCACAGTTGTGGGATCGAATCTCGTATCGATTCCTTCCCAGGCCAATCATGCATTTTATTCCTTCGGGGTTGGTTATAGGGTACCAGTCTCGTCTGGAATGGCGAAAACACTGGCTCATACATCGGTTGTCTACTATGTATAAATCATCAGACCACATATGCATTTAAAACGCTTCTACAAATTTGAATGTAAGTCGAATGCGGGGCGTGTTCTAAGACGTAAACGTGCACCCTTCAAACTTTCAAATTCAGATTTTCCAAACTTGGGTCTGGTGCATGAGTGTGCACCTTAATATAGACTGTTGGTCCACCGCTGACATCGGACATTGGAATCGCCTGCACGGGATGATTGAACGCTGTTTTGTTTGTGCTGTTTGACTACGTGCAAGCTGTGAAAGCATTGGCTGCGCGAATATGCTGCACTGCAGGCATATGGCCGTAGGTTTTTGACGTATAGTAAATCAATTCGAATCTGTCTTATAATTTTCAACAAGTAACACCTTTTGATAAAAGAGTAGATTTATGGCACAAAAAAGTGACATAGGGACCTACACAAACACAAACGCAATTCAATCCGTATTTGTACACACACATAATTCGAGGCCGATCCTCGGCTAGCAGTTGGTTGGAGCTCAGCGACGTCGTCGTCGACAGCATTGTGTGCCTCTGTTACAGGGGGAGTATCCGGGCTTACATTGGCAAGTTTGTTGTGGCTGCTGTCCAGTGACGGGCTCACAAGCCACAACGGTAGGCTGAGCAGGTGCGGATGGTGCACAGGTTTGCGCACAACTCTGTTGGCAAGCAGGTTGGCAAGTGGTTACTGGTTGGCTTTGTTGTGCACATTGTGTAGAACACGTGGATTCACACTGATTTTGGCACTGAGCGGATTGGGCGATGCTTGGCTGAAGAACAACTCGGATCACTGGGGGTTCTTGACCTGCACAGGCATTTTGACACGCCTGACATTGCGCAGAAGTCTGTGTCGGCGAGCACTGTGCTTGGCATTGTTGCACACATGCAGGCAATGCTTCAACGCAAGTGTTTTCACAAGCTGGCATACAGGCTGGGGCACACTGGGCTGAAGCTGAGGCGAGAGGCTGGGGTTGAGCTGGAACATTCACAGGTACACAAAATTCAGAGCACTGAGTTTGACACTGGTCCAAACATGGCGCAGTTGAGTACTGAGTGGCACATGCGGACTGGCATTGCGTTTGGCATTGGGGCAAGCAGGTAGGGTCTTGTCGAGATACTGGGACGTTGATCCGGATGGGTGCTGGCATTTGCTGCTGCTGGACACAGGATGGTTGACAAGCTGGCTGACATGAAGGAGCACACTGCACAGCCGTTTCCTGCTGGGAGCAAGAGGGGTTACAAGCCGGTTGGCATCCAGGAGCGCACTGAGCGGCTGTATGTTGCTGGATACAAGATGGTTGACAAGCTGGTTGACATTGGGGAATGCACTGGTCGTATGTAATAGGAGGCAGGTTACCTGGGCCGATGCCTGGACCGAAGCCAGGAGCAGCAATGGGAAGAGGAGCTGGCATCGGCATAACGCAAGCATTATTGCACTGAATCTGACA